AATCTGCCCATGTTTGACCGTTGAACACCAAGTCTACCCGAGTACACCCCTCGCTACCCGGGTACTTTTTGAAAAAAAATTCCTACCCGGGTAGGTAGGGGTGTACCCGGGTAGTGTTCTTCGAATCTGAGAATTTGCTTGCATTATTTACCCAGGTAGGGAGGGTTGTACCCGGGTAAATGTCGTCCAGAAAACCCAATATGAATGGGTTTCGGCCATTGTTGCGAGATTTAGGTTTTTTGCCCCCCAAATCTCTGTCCCTTGAGCTCTCTCGACCGAAACAACACAAATATATTTCATGTCATCAATTTCTCAACGTTAATCTTTGTAGGACATTGAGATTACACATCCACACTCTCATTTTGTGCTCAAAAATCCGAACCAACCTCCAAACCCAAAACCTAGACCTAATTTTCGTGTGAAAGATGAGTTCAAGTCCAAACATGGTTCCTATAGTTATTTACTACAATGGAAGGCATTTTGAAGGTCCGAACGGTGTCCGATTTGAAGGAAAAACAAAACCGATGAAAAGCAAACTAGGCAGTACATGCAATGAATTGAAGGAGAGAATTCTCCAAAAAATGGGGTTAGAAGGCATACAATCCATCCACCGCATGATAGCCAGGTTAGAGACTTTAGTGGATATTGATACAATATACTACATTGGTAATGATATCAATGATGATGAAGATGTGGAGTTCGTAACAGATGCGTTTGTTGGATGGAAAGTATTAAAATATATTGAGATATATGTTGAAGTTGATGCTGGTCAGTCTTCATCTTTACCGGTGCATGCAACCACTGCTGCACACTGTACTGGTCAAGATGATACAGTTGTACGATCTTCCGCACCTCCTCAGGTAGCATTGGATGAGGATGAAGAGGATGAAGATGAGGACTATGTGGACAGCGAAGATGAGGGAGAACCTGAAAGTGCTATTCCACAAGGTGATTCGTCAGACACTGACGTCGACAGAAATTTTGACGCTGACACGAGCGCGGTAAGTCTGGGCACCCCAGCCTTGTCACCACTTCATGTTGACCCAGTCAGTAGTGGTAAGTTATTAAATTGTGACATTGGCTTTAGACAATTTATTATTTGTGGTGATATTCATTCAGACAAATGAGAGTTGATCTTTAGATGCAGGGATTGCGGTGGAGCCTTTTTGGAATGAAAGCCAACATTATTCATTCATCAATTGGGCGCACCTTAATGACGAGTTGGAGGTCCTATATGGGGATGATGACTTGCATAGAGGTTGGAAGTTAGGAGATCCATTATTTGTGCAACAAGAATTTGGCTCCAAACCTGAAATGCAACATGCTGTGAAGATACATTGTATGAAGGGGCGCAAGACAACCATAGTTGAAAAAAGCGACGAGTCAAGATTTGTTATGAAGTGTAAAAACCATGCTGACGGTTGTCCCTGGTATATGAGGGCAATTAAGCCGAAGAAGGGAGCTAATTGGGTGGTCCGTAAATGGGGTCAAGGTCACATATGCCTAAATCAGGGCCTATCACAGGATCACAGACAGTTGGATTCAAATGTCATTTGTGCGGCTATAATGAGTATGTATTCTACTGTGTAACTTGTAATGATATACCCGGGTAACTTGTAATGATATACCCGTGTACAACCTACCCGAGTATACCAGTTCGTGGTACCTGGGTAGACCAGTTGGTTATACAATTGCAGCTGCTGTTTTGGCCATTTTTTTTTGCATTTTTTGAATTGTTGCGTAATACCTACATACAATATGACTTGGGGGTGGATTGATTTCGTAGAAATAGGATGACGGAAGCATGATGTGCACCAATCAATGTTGAACATCCATATTAAAGTACTTTGGGGTCCATTGTTTTCCAAATTACATATGACAATATTAATGCAAAGACCCATATTAATGCATAGAACCAACAAGTCTGAACGTGCGCAACACGAAAATTTCATTCATTCAAATATTGAACATCCAAGTACAAAAAGATCCATGCAATGTAGGTAAAGTTCCTAATTGTACCAAAATGACTACATTACATCCAAAATGGTCATCCTACTAAACCCAAAATACACCCATTAATATAAAACCCTCATGTGAAACCCTATGGACAGCCTAATCCGATTGTGTGTCCTCCCCATTCTCATCATCCTCCTCCACATCATCACCATCCGCAACAGCAGCATCAGCCTCCTCCTGAGTATGGGCACCCTCCAACTAAACCCTCCAAGCGTGTAACCCTTGTGTCCAACCGTGTAACCCTTGTGTCCATCTGGTTCCGCCACTTGCTTGTGCTCTGTCTAAATCCTCTAAAGTCAGTACTTAATGAGTCCATGCCACATGTCAGAGCATACAAGGATGCCATGATATGATCAGATGTCCATCCACCCTCAGGAGCTGTCCATCCACCCTCAAGAGATGGAGGAGCTGGTGGTCGTCGACTGCGGGTAGGACGTGTCTGCCCGTCATCAACCTCAGCAGCGCCGTCATCGTCATCGTCATCATCAAGGCCTGCATCATAAACCATGAAAAGCACATATTATAAATACCACATTAGTATTAAAAAACCAACAAAAAAATGCATAAACCCAAACACATCACCTGCAGGTGCATCCTCCATCTCAGCATCGTGGTGGACTGGGATCTCAGGTGGTTATGGTGCCTTCTTCCACATCCAGATACCCGCTCTGTTCGGCAGGATCCCACACTGCTTCAATAGCCTCTCACCAAATATAGCATTCCAGCCTGTGGCGGTCTTCAAGGTCTCTGTTGCCATAGGCACACCAAATCTATGCAGAATCTTCTGCACCAAGAATGCAAAAGGCAATTCAGCTTTCTTTGACTTGGCAGCCTTCCACATCAGTATGCATATATAATGCCTCCAGTTCACCTGCTGACAGTGAAGGAGGGCCCACAAGATGACAAAGTCCCCTTCCAGCACCTTCGAGTGATTATGCGGGCGCTGGAAAATAATATGTGTCACCACGTAATGAAGAATGCAAGCAGACACTGACAAGTTGCTCACAGGATAATGAGCAAAATGTCCGGGCTCAGCGTCTGCCCTCCTAGTCTCTGTAACAATGGCCTCCCAGTCATAATCACCAAATATGTGATGGCTATCTCCATCATATAGTGCTGCTCCTGTGACACCATCAAAATCAAACCCCAGTAGCTCCGTCCAGATAGGAGCAGTCATGATGATATCAATCCCGCAGACACGGGAAGTCAGCTCGCCTTGTGAGTACCCAAGGTTCTGGTAGAAGGCTCTTACCATAACCTCCGAGTATGGGCATCGCATCTCCGCCAGGTCAACTAAATGTGTCTCCTCAAGAAGCGGCACAATGTCAAAACGCTCCAAGTTGAAGAAGCCCGAATCCAGTGATTTCGACTCCCAGATCTTCCGGCTCATGAAATACTTCACAAACCTCTCGTGTGCAAGTATGTCATCCTCAAACAGATATCTGAACGTCAAGTCCGGAGCCTGACTCGAAGCAGCCTGGGGCTGAGAGGATGACCCTCCATCGTGACGACTCTTGGTTCTTCTCTCGGAATGAGTCTCGGTAGCTTTGAAACGCGTCTAGAGGTCATTGCGTCACACTATTAAACTGAAAAAGTAACCAAAATCAGAATTCAGATACATACAGGTTAGGGTTAGGGTTAAGGTTAGGGCCATTTTTTTCAAAAATTAATCGGTCAAAATCAAATTACATAACCATGCAAACTACAAAAACGCAATAAGGGACAAACATATTGGATGAAATCAGAACAGGAAACATCCAGAAAGAAAGAAAAATTAACCTTGGATGGATTTCAATCGGTAGAAGGCAGAGACTCACAATGCACGAACTAATGATCACAACCACGAAGAATTTGAGCAAGATTTCGTCCTCAATCGCGCAACACAAGGAACTTCCAGCAGCTCCACTCGGGTACCACTTTGTGGGTTTTCCAAATGGGGCTGTTGGCTTGTTAAAAAACCCTACCGTCGACATTTACCCGGATACACCCCTCTATACCTGGATAAATAATGCAAGCAAATTCCCAGATTCAAAGAACACTACTCAGGTACACCCCTATCTACCCGGGTAGGTAAAATTTTTCAAAAAATACCCGAGTAGGCTTGGTGGTCAACGGTCAAACAGGGACATATTGGTGTTATGTTTTTTGAAGAGGTTAAATTTTTGAAATAATTCATAATCAAGGTCAAATTGGTAATTAATTATTAATAAAGGGTTATAAGGGTCAAAAAGCCAAAGAAGTTATGTTAACGGATCCTGTAATTGTTGTTTTAATTGAAAGAAGTTTTTCAAAATTGAGTTTTTCTATTGAAGATGTGATCACGCTATTCATGAGGAAAGAAATGATGGAGGCTGGAATTCAGAAAATCCCATCATCCAGTATAGTTCTCATTTGATTTAACATAATTTTTTTGGCTTGTCCATTGAATCTCTGCTTTGTAAAGGCATTTTTCCTTCTTTGATCACATAAATATAAATATTAGGTATTTTAACAAGTTAATAATGTGGAACACATTCTCAAGATATAAATAATATAAAGGACGGAGAAAAATAAACAAATTTCTTCACCGTGATATTTGAACATTAAAATAGTGATTAGACATTTATACTCTTCCATGAAAGTCAGCTGATTCTTGATAGCTATTATTAGTTACTAAACACTGATTAGTGTACTCTTTCATTCAGTAATGAATTGAGTGCTTGTACAGAGACAATGAAGTTTATCACTACTGAATATTGAAAGTCAATCTTACATGTTGAAATTGGAAGTCAGAAGAGTTAAGATTCAAACATTTGCACAGAAATTTGAATCAGTTTATGCATCTTGATGCTTGCTTGTATAGAAATACAGTGCTTCTTGATTATATACGTTGAGCAAATACAGTATATAAGCAAGCACATTTTATGTTTCACTACAAAGAAGATATGTAGGTACTAAGTGTAAAGAAGTGCCGGATGAACTAAGGTGCTAGTTTGCACTCTTGTTCAGTGTTCAGTAACCATTAATGCCTGCTTCGGTTCCTTTTCCTCTGGTTCTGCCACCATCAATGGTTGCTGTGGTACCTTCTCGCCTACTTGTGCTTCTCCATCTTCTAATTGTTGCGACACATGTTGCTTTAAATATTTGAATAGTACGAGCATTATAAAAGCTGCAAGGAAAAATTATATCATAAGAATCAACTATCACAAAGTTGCCAAATCCATATGTATGTCCAAAACTTAATCTACAAGACAGGATTTATATTTTAAGGTTCATTGTACAACAAGGAAATATCTATGATAAGCAAAAAAATCTCTTCTGTGGCAAGCTTTGTGTCTACATCCCAATTTCCAAGTAACCTGACACTACTAGTACATTGTTGAGGATGGCTGTAAATTAGTATAATTGGTCTAAGCTTATGTTAAAATTGCTAAAACAAGTGTTACTCTGATGAAATTATAGTTCATGCTATAAACTGCAGCCAACTCTCTCACAAGGGACTTACCTGTGAAGATTCGAGTTTTTATTGATGATAGATTCCAGAAGGTCATAAGTACCGATGCCATCACTTTCTTCTTGTGAGTGCAAGCGAACCATGCGTCCAACAACCATAGTTTCAAGAACTCAGCTGCATAACAGAAGCTTTCTATTATTAATCACAAAAATGTGGAAAGACCTACAAAATTTCCAATAAGCAGGTGGACTCATACCTCTCTGGTTTATCTGAGCAGTGTAGCAAGAATAAAGCTTTGGGACACTGAAGCTGACAAAAAATCCTGTTGGTATAATGGCCAATTTAGCTAGACATGTATGATAAGAACTAAAGTATAATGGCAAATGCAGACTCAGTTTCAGGAAGTTGAAAAGTTTATAGAGTTCATGTTGTCCTCACCAATGGCACACAGCCTCCACATAGTAATGAAGTGGCCATACTCAGCTCCAAGTAGAAGGAAAGGAACTACCTGCAACCAGAAAAGACTAGCTGATGATTTAGGCAGCATTAAGCAATTATGGACCAGATTAAAAAAAAAAAAAAAGGAAATTAAGAATTTTGAACTATGGGGATTACTTTCAGGGTCATGGATGGTTCTCCTGAGAATAGAGCACTCGTCTTTGAAATTGCAAGATTTAAAGCAGGAAGAATCAATTTTGCAAGACGCAAAATGTCATCTTCTTTCAGCTTGAATTCACACTTTTCTTCAATCTGGTTTCTGAAACACAAATGGGAAACTCAAAACAAAGGGAGAGTTTGGAAGATAACAGCACCGTCTATGAGAAGCCAGAAGTAAAAATTGTACCTTCGACAAATTGATTTCCAGAAAAACGAAACACCCAAGAAGAGAATCGCTAATTGTGACATAGCCGAGAAAATGCTGAAATAATAAAGTATCAACATCTCAGATTTTTCTCCATGTAGGTGAAGAACAGAAGAAAAAACAAAGAGTGAAAAAAGAAAAGAAGAAAAGGGATAGAAGAGAAATTACAGACCTAAAGTTCAGTCCTTGAGAAAAGCACGAAGATAGTAGACATGAAGATCCAAACCCAAACCAAAGGCTTGATTTTGATACATCTTTCCACATAATCAAATCACTCATCAACTGCCCAACACGTTCTACATCACTTCGACTCTCTTCTTCAATTTCTAAACACAAAAGCACCCCACACAAAAAAAAAAAAAGCAATGTTCAATAAAAATAAAAAAAATCAAAGTAAAACATTTCAAGAATCAAATATGCATACTTGGAGATGGGGTCGAAGGTTGTACAGAATGAACCAAGTTCAGTTTTTCCTTCTTAGATCGCACGTTATGCCTTCTCTTCTTGTGTTTTCCAACCTCTTCCACAAACCCCACATCTTTTTCTTCTCGAATCTCAATCTCAGAGCGTCTCCTTGATTTTCGAGCATTCCTTGGGGATGCCACCGCACCCGTTTGAGCCCCTCTGCTTTTGCAGCGCCGCCGCATCCCGGGGGGCTCCGCCAACTCCTCCTCCGCCGCAATTTCAAGCCGGTCGGTGAGATGGGTCTTCAACTTTTTAAGGGGCGAAGGTGATGGGGATTTGGTGATGGTTCCGTTAGACATAGTAATAGGAAGAGGGTCTTCTTGGCTTGGTTTGTCAGCAATGAGAAATGAAGGATTTGAACGATGATAAGGCGGTGTAGAAGAATCCATGAATTTGAAAGAAAGAAAGCAAATTGTGGGACTGGGTTTGGGTTTTAGTTTTTGGACGATTTTTGTGGAGATTGTGGATTTGTGGTGGCGGGGCGGGATGCAAAAGTTTCAGGATTGCAAAGTTAGGAGCTTCAGTGGTTTCTTGAATTTGAATTTAGTAGCCGTTGGAGAATGGATAAGTCTTTCTTACAATATTGCTTCTTCTTTTTTTTGACTAGACAGCCATGATTTTGGCAAATTTTTATCAATATGCCATGCAAACGGTATTTTTTCTTAGATTACTACGCGTTGAAGTTCGTTACTGTAACACCCCGCGTATATCCGAAATATTAATATTACAGGTGCTTAATTAAAAATACGGAATATTCTTTTTCTTTTCAATTATGACGTCATTAACAATTACCAACTTGATTACTTAATCAATTTTATAAAATATCGCCAGTATGTAAATTGCAACAAGACATCTACTGAAATACCTCAATATATAAATAAAGTGTGTATCTACATCACGGTATTACATCTCGTAATCCGGACAATATCCTGATACATTATTACAACACCAAAAGACTCAAGATATAATCAAGACATAACAATACTATGTGTCATGGACAATCCCCATGCTCACCAAATAAACATAGTAAACAACAAGTCTCAACGTAAAACTCCATAAACATAACTGAAGCTATAAGCATAAACAGTATGCAAATCCAGCATCCAATCATGGCAGCATAATATAACAGCAATCTAACTCAGCTCCGGCCTCCTGCCGCTTGAGGTCTCAACATTACCTGACCCTGAAATAAGCATTTCCCAAACGTGGGGTGAGATCTCTAAACTAGAAATCTCAGTAAGACAAGGGGTCCTCAAGGATCTTCCACCCCAAGCTCACTTACATGTGCAATATAAGTTCTAAAAGCATTTATATCATTATCAGTTCCAAAACTATGTAGTGCAACAGATATCTATGGCATGTGTGTAATCACTATCTACTGGCCAGAGAAATGTAGGAATACGTCTATTCCCTACATGTAGTACAAGGAACACCGCTTGCACCTCACCCACAGCCTCACCATCTTGTATGTTCTACATACTCAGGCTTACTGTATAGGTGGAACACCTTCATGCATATCAACACAGCACTAACATACAATAGCTCAACAGCATTTCCAAAACATCAAAAGCATGTAACACAGCATGCATATACCATATCCCCATGGGACATGGTGGAACCACAACATGGCTAAACCGAGGACACGAAAGCTTACCTCTAAGCTAGCTATCCAATGCCACAAGCTCAAAGTCCAATCACAGCAGATCACAATCTGATATGGACCAAATATAAATCAATAAACATGTACCACATGCAAACAAATTAAAGACAACGCCTTTTCATTACGTTTTCAAGTCTTAAAGCTTCTAACAAAGCCACAAGCCCTTAATCCCATGATTCTGGCTTAGTCCATTAAATACAGAAGTTCAACTTCATCAAACTAGGGTCCACAAGCCCCCAATAGCCTACTGTACACACAACACAGCTACTGTTCCACGAAATCCCAGAATATCCGGATATTCCTCGGGACCATATCCGGATATGCAATATCCGGATATCTCACTGTCCAAATCCGGATATACAATATCCGGATATACAGATTCACATATCTGGATATCCAATATCCAGATATCCTAAAACCACATATCCGGATATCCAATATCCGGATATCTGTTCGACAAATATCCGGATATTTCACGACAGAATGCAGTTTCTGCATTTTCGTGAAGATATCCCTTAAAGGTTCCCTTTTTACCGATTTAAAACACCTAATCATGCATTTCTAGGCGTGTTCAACATTACCCAACAACAAGTTATCATCTTTTAGTCATTAGATGCATCAAGGTACCATTTTTAAGCCTTAAAACTCAAGTTAAAGGTTGGTACAACATACCAAGGCTCAAAACTCAGAATGGAGATGCTCTTGGAGCTCACTAGACACTTCCAAGATTCTGTCTCTCACTGCACACGAAAATGGTGCACCAAGGTGGTTCTTTTACACAACAAGGAGGCTCCTTGAAGCTTCAAAACACTAAGAACAAGATGACTCCTCTCAAACTCTCAAACTCAACCCCCTCACCAGCTCAACACAGTAGCTGGAACCTTAGAAAAGGCCCTCCTTTCACTCCCACAAGGATGCTCTCAAGTGTATACAAGCTCAAGGATGAAGAATCAAGAAAAATGAGGAAGAAAAGGCCACAAGGCTCTCCAAGAGGAAGTGGACAGCAATGGAACAGTGTATAAGGTGCAAGTCAGCCACCAAGTCACGTAGACAAATCTGAGTGCCTAGGGTTTAGGGCCAAGTGTGCCTATTTATAGTGATTTAACACATAAACACACAGTATTAACTTTATGTGCTAAGCTTAGCATTTTAATCCCAAACTTTGGATTATGAAACTACATAATTTTCTAAGATTTATCATATTTTTCTTATATTTTTCTGAGCACCTTTCTGGTACGCGCTTTTCAAAGCCAGTACCGGTTTCTAGCACCAGTTCTCATTATTTGGACTTGAAACTCGTTTTACAAGTCCTAAATATTATTCTAGTAATTATCATGCACTTACTTTAATTTTCCGGGATACTTTTTCGGTACGCATTTATACCGACTAGCAGAACCGGTATCTGCACTTTTCTTCCGAAAATCGACTTTCAGCATTCTAACCCACTTATTATGATTATTAAGCCTCATAAATAATTATTAGGGTCAATTATGGAATCATTTCCTATTTTTGCATAATTAATTAATTAAATACCTTAATTAACGGTGCAGAATCTTACATTTACTACTGGTAACCAATGATTTCATGACACATGGTATATTTTCGCAGGAAAATGTGTCTAAGTTCGCTATGACTGGTAACGAATTTGGTAGCCAATAATTTCGTGACATGTGGTGCACTTTAGCAGAAAAAGAAAAAGCTAACTGGACTAAATTCGCTATCAGGGGTAATCTCGTTGCTCGATCAGAATTAATGTACCAATCACAATTAATGTATCAATCATCGATCACAATTAGTGTACCAATGAGATTAACTTTTGATTATACCAATCACAATTAATGTACCAATCACCAATCACTTCAGAATGTCATAACTTTTGATTCAGATATCCAAATCAGATATTTTTTATTTTATTTTACATAACTTTTCGAGGTCTACGCAATGACATATCATTTGACATATTTTTTTTGGGAAAAATGTTTCCGCAGTTAATGCAGAGAAGTTATCTGCATTTATTCCCAAAACGACGTCGTTTTGATATTAAAATCTTAAAAAATTATAAATATAAAGACTATTATAACCCTAAAATAAATTAAAATTACAAAAATACCATAATTTTCGTCCAAAAACGACGTCGTATTGGCTTACTGCAGATAACTTATCTGCAGTAACTGCAGAAAAAATGAACCCATTTTATTTCTCACAAACATTGTTCCAATTTGTAACAATGGTATCACAAACAATTAATGTATCAATCACCAATCACAATTAATCTACCAATCACCATTCACAATTAATTTACCAATCACCATTCACCAATCTCTATAGCTCTTTATTAAAAAAAAAAACACACACACACAATTCAAGAAAGGGAAAAATGTTTATGTAGTTAATGCAGATAAGTTATCTGCATTTATTCCCAAAACGTCGTCGTTTTAATATTGAAATCTTAAAAAATTATAAATATAAAGACTATTATAACCCTAAAATAAATTAAAATTACAAAAACACCATGATTTCCGCCCCAAAACGACGTCGGATTGGGCTTACTGCAGATAACTTATCTGCAGTAACTGCAGAAAAAACGAACCCTTCAAGAAAAGCAGATAAGAGCTAAAAAAAGCTCTTCCTAGGAACTTTTATCTTTTAATTTTTTTCTTCATTATAAAAAAAGAGTTTTTCATTATAAGAGTTTTTCTCGAAATCTGTTTGGCCTAACTTATATTTATAAGTAGCTTCTTTCTTACAAAACAGCCTCGCTTTTTTGAGCTAGAAGCTAGTTATATGCTAAAGATGAAAAAAAAAGTTTAAAATTGTTTGGTAATTATATAAAAAATTTAGCTTAAAAGACATATTTAAGAAAATTATCTCTCTCTTTATCTTTATAACTCTTCATTTTAAAAAAAGTACACAATTCAAGAAAAGCATATAAGTGCTTAAAAAAATTTCCTCCTAGGAGCTTTTAGCTTTTTTCTTCGTTATAAAAAAAAAATTAATTATAAGAGCTTTTCTCAAAACCTGTTTGTCCTAACTTATACCTATAAATAACTTTTACCTTAAAAAAAAATAGAAATAGGCACTAAGTCGCATCCCTCGGGCTTATAAGATTATATTACCACATGAATTCACCCTCGAATTTTAAACACCATCGCAACAGTAGAGTAGCCGTAAATTTACTTTTAAATCCAGAGTATCAAATCACAAGATAAAATGCAATTATTTTCGTACATATAGTTTGCCAAATAAAAGGTCTCGATAGGATATAACACAACTAAGTGTTAACACACCTCCACCATCCCCAAATCCTCCAGTGTGACATTATTTTTTGGCATTTTTGCATGCCGAAGGCTGAAAGCTTTTATCCTGCTAAGGCCTTCTTCAAGTTCAGAACTGTCAACAACCAGACTAATCCGAACCCAATTCTTTAGTCCAACAGTAACACCTACAAGTATTTTTATTTTATTTTATCATTAACATCAACAATATACATAAAATACAAGAACAGATGGAGGGAAAAGAAGAGAAAATAATAATAATAATAATATATGAGAGAGAAAAATAAATAAATAAGTAAGAGGAAAAAAGTTACTAGAGATGAAGATAATTTAATAAGTATTATTTATAAGACAAGTTATATTTACAAACTTAACTATGTATTAAGGGTAATACATGAGTTAATTTATGTACTATATTGTAAAAATTTGTAAATCAAAAGTTTATAAATATAAC